GGGAGGGAGGGGGTGGAAGAGGCAGAGGGAGGCAGCGGCGAGGAGTCCAAAGGGACGGCAGAAAGGAGAGGGAAGGTGAAGGGAAGTGCCCGGATGACAGGCTCAAGCACAACGTATGGCCGTCCCACGGCAACTCGGCTCGGCTCAGCAGGGAGGCGGAAGGAAGCGAAGCATTCAATCCCCAGGAGGCGCCCGAGAGGGAAGCGGCCGTCCCGGGCGGCCCAGTTTGGCTGAAAAGGGCCTTTCCCCGCTGGCGCCTAAAGCTTCCGGACCGCTGGCGGCCTCCTGACAGCGGCGTCTACTATGGCCCATCTATGGGTCCGGCCTAGTGTCAACATCAACACAGCCGGCCTCTGACCCCGGCGAACTCGACTTCCGTTTCCACGCCCCTTAGCAACAGCTGAGGCGGTCCCCGGGCAGGCCTTAGCAACCATCCCTTTTTTAATGGTTGAGCGGCACGTGATTTAGACATTCATGGGCCGGTAGTGACGGAAGTCCTTCCCTGAGTAGTCAGCGTTACTGTCAGTTAGCTTGCTACTCTGCCTTTTTATTTCTCCTCCTTCTCTCTCCCCCCCCCCTCCACCGTTGACCGAGTGAGGGAGGCGGGAGCTTTTAATCACGCTTAGCGGTAGACTTCGTTCCGATAGGGCTAAGGAATATAAGTGCCGTTCCTTAATTCGTCAACAAATGCAAATCTCATTTGTAATTGGCGGAAATGGGCATTCTTTGTGATTGGCTGGGGAGTTCTCCCGGGTGTAAAAATTGATAGGTTGAGGCAAAAGTTCTTGCGGCTTGTCCCAAAATTCTTCGATCCGATTGGCTACTGAGCTCTTCCGAGTGTCCTGATTCCTAAACCGTCCAAATCGAGAAAGTGTGTTCCGGTGCTTTATATTCTTTTTCTTAAACTCGATGTTATCCCAACAGTTGAAACTACAATTCCCAGAATACTTATTCAAAGGCCGCGCTTTCTGGGTATACCGGGAATCGTAGTCCCAAGGTTTCTTACTCTGCCGGCCGTATGTCCGAAGCATGTGAACAATAAAACGTTGAACTAAACAGGTTGCTTTTCTTGTATAATTATTTTTAAAGAGAGGACCTGAAAATGAAATTAGTTTTCATTTTATAGACGTACTTAAAAATAGCTCTTCAACCGTTTTAGGGTGTATTAAATACAATATAATGGCAAGAAATATGGCCAAAAACTTTTAATACAAGCTTTCCCAAATGGAGGTGTACTTTGGGAGGCGCAGAGAGAGTCCAGGGATGGTATGAAGAATCTTTTAGTTAATAAATCCACCTAGCTTAAAGTTTCGTTGTATTGTTTTCATTATTCATTTGTGTTCATTTCAGTGTTTGGATTTTTTGGGGGGCTGTCTACGTTAAGATAATACTAAAGGCAATTCTTGGTTAAAAGTAGCTGTTTTAAAAGGGCATTTTTAATACATATGGACAAAANTGACTCCCTCTTCTTTGGGGCAACCCCTGAGATATTGGAAGACTCCTATCATGTCTCCCCTGGTCCTTCTTTCTATTAAACTAGACATACCCAGTTCCTGCAACCGTTCTTCATATGTTTTAGTCTCCAGTCCCCTAATCAACTTTGTTGCTCTTCTCTGCACTCTTTCTAATGTAGAGGAAAGTCAAAGGTGAAGGAACATCCATGGTATGAAATGCAGACAGGAAACCATTTAGGACTTTACAAAGGAAGCACTGCATTATAAGAATTATAAAAGTATAGAGTGACTAAGCCAGGAGCAATATAAAGTAGAAGTTACAAGAGTCAGTAAAATTAACCAGGATTTCTGCCTGCCAATGACAATGAACTTGATTTTCACTATTCTGTCCAAAGAAAACTTGCATGATTGTAAACAAGTGAGAGTAGAATTTAAGAGTTAAGAATTCTAGCCTATCAAATAAAGAAGAGTACTGAGAGATTTAAAAAATTCAGTGAGAGGATAGCTAAGGTGGAAAACTAAGATGTTAAATTTTGTCTGAACTGCAAAATGAGTTGCAAATTGATGAATAAAATAAATAATGAATTTTGGACATATGTACAGAGTTTGAGATAGTATCAAGACTATGCAGAAGAAATATTAGATCAACCAAGTTGGATGTATTAAAGCAATGCAATGGACCATTTATTTGCTCCTTAAACCTGTGAACATGGCCAGAACTTTTCATCCCACCCCTTCAGGAGTGCAGGGAGTACAAAACTTTTGTTTCCACTTTGCAATTCCCATAGGCTACCACCAGTGAGTAAAACACAATAAAGCCTTTGTATCTTTAAGCAACAACTCCGCTTTGCCAATATTCCTATTTCCTCATTTATAAGGCAAGAGACATTCCCAATTGAAGAGGGTTCTCTGTTTTGGGGAAAATAAAAGATCTAATGGTACAGAGGTTTTCCATTGCTGGTATGTAACAGATTCTTCCACAAACATCAATCAGATAACCAACAACAGGTATTGAATACCAAAACAGTTTTAGCTAATAAAATAATAAAGTATATGTGGATTGTTTTTCCTCAGCAAAAGTTAAAAGCCACTAATATTTCCTGCTCAGAGAAAATACTGGAAGTCTGAACTTGCCCAAGTATTTGATTCCATCCCATCCCATTACTAGGTTAAAAGGTTATTTTCATCTCAAGCTGAGAACCAAATTAATTAAATTGCATTAGGGACCAAATGAAAAGGAACCAACAAGGTTAAAAGTGAAAATGTGGCAGCAACAGAGCAGACTAAAAATCACTTCCAATACGCCAGTAACTGGATCCCATTTTCAATAGGGTATTGGACATTTGAATTTTTTAAACCCAGCTGCAACACCCGTTGTCGAATGGTGTAAGTCACCATGCTAATGATCAAATCTACAAAACTGAAATCTGGCACTGGACCTGAAATATTGTAACTAACACAATGTAAAATATTTGACCTGAGGCTATATGTGACTTCAAAAACTGAGGGAAGAGATTCATTTCAGCTTGAGCGTTGCCTGCTGTCCAGCCTCTCTAAGGTAGATCCCATCAGCAGGCAGGACTTACCCACAGCCCGGAACAAGCAGGCCCCATCTTCCTTCATCTGTTTTATGATGAACCCTTTCTTCTCTCTCAGCGCCTTCTCGAACCTGTGTTCCTGCTGGTGACAGGAGGGGCAGATGTCAGCAAGTTAGACAGCATCCCCATCCCACAAATGAGGGAGGGCAACATAACCAACTTTCTCTCCTGTTCTACCCATGATTACTTATAAAAAGAGGGACCAGCCACCTTGGAGAACAAAGTTTATCCACATGCAAATAAGTAACTCTGCTGCCCACTAGAGGCTGCCCACAGCAAGCAGCGATCATTACAACCCTGGGTTAATTGCCCCCCCCCCCGCCCCGTTAATTCCAAACTGTGATGTAACTAAGAATAGAATTACACAGGATTGGCACGAATCAAAACATGCACAACTTTATTTATATATCTGTTTTATACTTTGCCTTTATAATTAGGTAAGGCAGCTAACAAAAATTTAAAATTGAAACAGAGTATGAAACATAAATGAACAGTAACATTTGTATTGCATCCTATTAATTAATTAAAAAACTGATCAGGAATGTGTTCAGGGATTTTTTTTTTCAAATCCAAGAGAGTAGGGGCCAAACAAAACTCCTAAAGAAGTGCTCCTTTTTCTGGGAGCAATCGAGGAAAATGCTATTTTTCTATCTGTGCCGGAAAGATGGACTGTTGACAGCATGGGATTCTTCCTACAAATCTTGATAGATTGTCAGGTTTGCAACAGTGGAAATAATCCCTTTATTGATCCTAAGCCATTTAAGGTTTTACAGGTCAGTCACAATTTCTTAGATTGAACCCAGTGAGCAAAATTCCCATATTCAAAAGTCAGATGAAAGCTCTTCACCTCCCATGCTTGTTGTACAGAGAATGCGAGAGGTAATGAAGCAGGAAGATAGCAGCAAAGGAACTCGTACAGGACAAGGCACCACTCTGGGGGCTTCGTGATTACAAGCTCATTTTGGTACACCCCCCATATTTTTTTGCAAATACCCAGAGCTTTAAGAACAGCACTTAAGTCATGCCTGGCTGTACAATTCTGTTTTCTGCATTCTCCTATCCACTTATCTAGCTCTGCAACCTGTAGGAGGATTAGCAAATTGCTTTTTTCAAAAAATAAAAAAGTACCCTCCTAACATTCTAATTGAATAATTCCCTTCTCTCCTAAATAAACACATTCAGTCATTTTTGAAGTAAATGTCACAATTTCATATGGTATCATTGCTTCAAGCATACGAGTAGGTTACAATTAGTGTGAGTTTGAATAGCACAATGCTTGATTTACTGCAAATTATGAAGGGAGAGCAAATGTACTTTGCATATAAGTAGCCTCTTTTACAGTGTCTCATTAATATGTAAACATTTGTGTTTCATGCTGGAGCCAATTACCCTATTTTTCATAGAAATATCGCTTTGAATATTGTAAATTTGAATAATGCAACCATTTTGTGGGATTCACTACCGGTAATTGTACTAATTGAGATATATCTATATTGAATAGGTACCTTATTTTGTTCAAGAAATAATCACTTAATGACCCATTGCATACTGTCTTCCAGTACTCTATTAAAGAACTTAGTCATTAAAAGTTGACACCAACTTGATGGCACACAAGTAATCTGGGAAAACATATATTAATGGCAATTCAAAAGAATGCTACTCCAAATTTATTGAGCCTTTTGTCTTTGGCTCAAATAGTTTCATTGCCATCTACTGGCAACAGCTAGATTTTTAAGAAATCAAGATTTTCTTATTCCCTTTGTTAGCAATTCTACCGTTTCATCATTTCCTATCTGCCCATGTAATATTGAATTTGAACAGATTAGGGAAAGAAAATATTTGCAGAGTCGGGGTACTAGATTAGGGACATAAGGAAGACTAGGTGACAGTCCCTCTGGAAATCTCTACTGGTGTTTATTTTCCTTTTAATTCTGGCTTTAACTCTATAATCTTGCAAACATTCAGTCATGAAACAATTTTATGAAGACCAAAAAGGAATCTCTAGTCCAACAGTTTTGTTTTTTTTTGCTAAGAATTACAAGAAGAGCATAAAACAGACTACGAATTAATGAATCCTGTTTTAAAAAAGAACACTGACAATTCAAAACAGTATCTTAGTGGTTACTTAAAAGCTTCATACCTAAAGTTTAGGCCTACTCCAACTGTGTTCCTTGGAGACAAAGATCAACAATGAACAAAAAGGAAAATACCGCCAGACAGGGGGTGGGGTGGGGGGGAAACTGTGGATGCTTCAATTGCTATGTTTTGGTGCAAAATGTCCTTCTTTGGCTACTTTGCAAAATGGCATTCTCCAGATCTTTATGACTCTATGGCTCTCCTGTCCATTTAGCAGCCTTTATCACTGAAGGGAAAAGGGAAAGAGGGGGGAAAAAAACCCTTGCTCAAGGCCTAATTTATCTGTGCTTATGATGCAGTATTACATAGCTTTTTTACAGGTAGTCCTAGGCTTATGACCATTTGCTTAATGGCAGTTCAAATTAACAACATCCTCTGAAAAACATCATTTATGATCTAAATTCGAATTTACCACCTTCACCTTACCCCCCCTCCCAGTCACATGATCACAATCTGGGCATTTCACAACCAGCTCACATTTACAACTGGTTATAATATCCTATAGTCACCTGGGCATGATTTGTAACATTTTTTTGCCAGTTTTCAGCAAAGCACACCATTCATTAAGCTGGATTCACACTTATAATCACAGTGACCTGACCATGGTGAAATGGTTATAAAATCAGGTCTGGTCACATGATCACTAGGATTTACAATCACAATGACTTAAAATGAAAATTCTTGTCCCAACTGTGGTTTTATGTTGAGAATTACCCTTATCTAAATAGTTCACTCCTTTTCTGTGCAAATCTTAATTCTTATACGGAACCATGTACATTTGGAATCCAACTTCATTTAGTCATTTAGCACATTTTGCAGTGTTGACCTAAGCAAAAATTAGAGACCCACTTTTGTGCAGTGGTTAAACATCAGGGTAGAAACCAGACCATTAGTACTAGTCCTGCCATAGGCACAAAACCAGCTGGGTGATTTTTGGCCTGTCATTCTCTCTTGGGCCTAGGAATGAGGCCATGGTAAACCATTTCTCAAATCTCACCAAGAAAACTGTAGAGGCTTTCCAAGCAGTCACCAGAATAAATACTGATTTCAAATAAAGCAAAAAGCAAAAACTGCATTCAATTTACTCCATATGGGCACCTCTTAACTGTATTCTTATCTATCCTTGACCAACATATTGAGTGAAGGTGAAGGGGGTTACTATCCAACAAATGTGGATGCTTAGATAGATGGTTAGAAATCACCACAGTAGATGCTTTCTATAGAACTTTAGAAAGATTAAGGCAAAAATTCATCTAAATTTCTCTTCAGATTTGCTAATTCATTTCTGATAAACAAGTAAGCAGATATACAGAGATCAGCGCATATAATTAAAGCTCATACTATAATCATGAAAAAGAATTCAACAATAATAGGACACTTCAGAGTAAATAACTCTCATCAGAAATACGATAAGTATCTTGAGTCCCAGCATCTAAGAATAGACTGACAGTCATAGATTAGAAGATGACAGGGATAACACAGTTCAATTATATCTATACATAATTTTATTCTTCTTATATCTTTCCCCAAAACTACCTGCTATGCCTAGAACATTTCAGAGAGATTATGATGAGTTGCCCTGTATGGTCTGAAATAACTTGTATTATATAGGCCCTCTTTAATGAGCTCCATAATAACTGTTGCTTTATTAAAATAATTTCTGGTCATATGTTAAAATACTAGGGTAACATTCTAGCTGGCTTACAACTTGGATCTCTTATCCCTAGGGAAGTTGCCGGACTAATTTGTTTCCCAAAACTGCGGTCTATTTATTAAATAATATAATTGCCAAATGTTAATGCTCCATATCAGTAGAACAGGTATGATGCTACAACTTTCTAAGCCTCTGAAACAACTTCATACTCACAAGCATTTTTTTTTCTAAAAGAGGAAGACCCAGTCAGTGGAAAATAGCAAGTGACATAGACTAATATGAATTCTACCAAAATATATCTCCCCCCCACTTTTTTTAGAAGGGCAAACTGCTTAGTCTAACCCTAAAACACATCGCTCACATGCCCCAGACTGTATTACTCCTCATAATTATTGTCGATAGTCCAATCATGTGCATCTTAACAGAATATAGTACACCAATTAGGATCTGGTACATTAGTACCACAGACTTACAAACAGGGTATCAAGCTGGCCTGTCCAGGAACTTAACTGAATTGCACTGCTATTCAGAAGTCTTTTAAGTGAACGAAGAGCTTTTTGATTTGAAGGTTTGCGATTATAGACAAATTAACTTGCCCCAAACTTTTAGATACATCAATATAAACATTTAATGGGCTTTTTCAATACACAAAGCTTGGCAATTTTCCAAAGCAACTTGCTTTGTTGTGTAATTGTTGCATTTAATAGGTTTTCCCTCAAATGCTGGACTCAAATTCACAGTGCTACAGTTTAAAACAGCTGCTTTGCCTTCTTTTTCTGTGTCATAGGGAATTTGGCTTTTTAATATATTTAAATTGCTGCATCTGCCAAAACCTGAAGTTAAATTCTAAGCCAAGTGTTCTGCTTCAACCATTTGACATCCAAATTTTCCATCAATTCTAAAAGAAGGATAAGGTGGTAGTATAGAATATTCCAGCTACTTTTTTTCCACATTAACATTACTTATCTCTTTAGCTGAAATAACATCAAATGGCTTAATTTTATTAAAAAGATGCCTATAACCCAATACAATATGCAGTGATCCTAGAGCAGATTTAAAAGCAAGGAAAACATTGTATTTTTAAGCTAAAACTTAAAGAACTGTTCTCTAGAGCCACTCTGGTAGTGCCTAATTCAAATTAGCTTCCCACTGGTATGTTGGGATGAAGAGAACACACTTGTATTTCACAATTTCAACAGTTTTCTAGTTTACCTCAAGCCAGGGATTTGAATCACAAATACAACACTTCTTCCGCGTGTTCCATAAGATCTGTCTTATAGCAACTGAGCTAA